GTCTATATTTTGTTGTGATATATCATTTATTTTTATTTTGTTTCTTTATTTTAATTATTAAATAAAAAAATTCAATACATTAGTCACAGTTTTATTTACTTCTATAATTTATTAGTTTTCTATTATTTTTCAATTAATTTAGGTAGATATAAATTTGATTTTGAATATGTACATTATATACCTTATATGTTATCAAAATTAAGATGAATCAAGTATTATTTGTAGGTTAAAATCTATCACCCACTTGTATATTTTATACATTACTATATTTTGTTAAATATGTACAATAAATTCGAAATTTCATAGGTATTGTAAAATATTGTGTGGATTTATTCTTCAACTCATGTAGATGTATCATAAGAAACTATATAAATAATATTTTTAATGTCTACCTAAATAGTTATATGATATTCATAACTTCATGAAAATATTATTCAGCGAATAGAATAAATTTTAACTCGACAAAGGTATTAAGGATGAAATTAAAAGTTTTCACAAACCTTAAAAAATGTGATTAAATTAATTATACATATACTTAAATTTAATAATGTTTTTTTAAGAAATCATTTTTCTACGTATTGTGCTCAAACTAATTCGCACATTCTTCAATTACGTGAAAATAAATCAAAGTAATTAATAAAAAATGGCATTATTAATATTTATTTATTTTTGTTTCTAGTTAATAAACTTTTATTAAAGGTATTTTTAGAAATTAAAAAAAAAATATTTTAAAACAATTTAAAATTATACTTGTTTATTATCAATCATTCACAAGTTATGAACTAATCAATTAGAATGATTTAAAAATATTTATGTATTAAAAATATTGATTATCATCTTCTAAATAATCAATTATAAACATGATTTTTAAAAAACGGAAATTATATAGTTTTGATTTATTAAATAAAGATTAACATAGATAAATATATTTTAATTTTATTCAAAAATAACTGAAATTTTAACAATTAAGTTTTAAATATAAATTATTAAGGATATACGTCGAGATCTTTGCTTCTCCTAAGGACATGTATGAGTTTCCACATACTTAAGCTTCACCGCTGTCAACTGCAACTCTGAAACCAGTGCATCTCTACTAACAAAACTCTGGTTGACATAAATACTGTTAGCATTTGATCTTCCTCTTTCACTACCATATGTCCCTTTGAAATCTTCAAAACACACATCATCTTCTTCCTCATCCTCTTCTGTAACCTTGCCATACTCATTCTAATCCTCACCATCGTCAACCCCTTCAGGAACATCAGGGATATCAGCATCTTTCTCCCCATCATCCTCCTCTCCATCATTCTCCTTCCTATCATGATTTTCATATGCAGTCAAATCATCATCATTTTCATCCCCTTCATCAGCTTTATCCCCCTCGCCATCTTCTTCCCCTTCTTCCCTTTCCTCTGAAACCATTCTCATCTAGCTAAGATTTGATACACAAAGATGTACATCATGCGTTTTAGTTATCTTGAGCAAGTTCCGAAATTGTCTATCACTTGTAACATGAATATGAGGGGTTTCTGGAGCCATCTGTTGCATCATTTCTACTGGTAATGTGTAGATTAACTCCACAGACTCTGTGTTCATGTCCAGTTTATAATCTTCTTGAGCCATTTCAACATGTGTTGAACCTTCACTCAAAAATAACAATCTCGCTCCTTTGAAATTATCAGCCACAATCCAACAGCCATTTTCAACAACCATTCTTCTTACACTGCATGTAACAAACGCATCATCTGCAAAATTTCAAAATAAAACACATTAGTTAGAAGTTTTAATTAACATGAATTTTGGGAACTTCATATATATTACGAGTTAAGTTATAAATTTCATTCAGTAGACGCAATATTGATTAATGTACATGAATTAACAAGAAAGTGTTAAAAATCCTTATAGTTTTAAAGAAAATGAATATTTATTAAAAAATGACGCAGGCGACATCCACGAAATTCGCCTGGTAGACTTCCACGAAATTCATCGGGTTGACTTCTAGGAAAGTCGTCAGTTTAGGTCATTTTTACAATTAAAATTTTACAAAGGAAGACTTCCGAAGAAGTCTCCTCTATAGCAGACTTCTTTGAAAGTCTTCCTTTGTAAATATTAGCATACCTTTGTTAAAACAAAATCTCGAGAATATCAGAGAAGACTTATATGTAAGTCGTTTAGGATATGTAGGTTAGTTTTGCATTTGATCGGATTGTGTCAGAAATTTAAATTTTCGTGGACGACTTACATGTAAGGTGTCCATTAGAAAATTGAAAATTAATATTTAATTATAGCGGGACGACTTACATGTAAGTCATCCGGTGAAAACCTACAAAATAAATATTTATTTAAAATTAGCTGACTTACCTGTAAGTCGTATCAGGTTAGTTTTGGAATTAAAAAATAAAGCTTACATATTTAATTTTGTCTAGACAACTTACATGTAAGTATTCAGACAAATAACTTATACGGAAGTCATCCTAGATAAGCAAGGTTTGATCAGAATCTCAGAATAAAATCTTGGACGACTTTTGTATAAGTCGTCTTGTGGAAGACTTCCGTGTAAGTCGTCTACAGAAAAATAAATATTTAAGTTTTATTTTTCAATTGCAAAACTAACTTGATATGATAAGTTGTCTAGTTATAATTAATATTAATTTTTTTAATTTTCTACCAGACGACTTACATGTATATCATCCAGTAAAAGTCAAATTTTTGACACAATTCAATCAAATGCAAAACTAACATACTTATCCTAGACGACTTATATGTAATTATTCTCTGGTATTCTTGAGATTTGTTTTTAACAAATAAACTAGACGACTTCCATAGAAGTCTTCTCTAAAAACACAAATAAAAGTCAATTACAAATCTGACTTTTCTATTGACCAGACGACTTCGATGTAAGTCTTCTACTTCTAGATGACTTACGCGGAAGTTGTCTAGCCGTACAGATCTGAAAATAATTCGATTTCATACTTTAAATTAGTGAGATAACTTTCTTAGCACAAAGAAGTTTTCTCCAAGCACACAGAAGCTCAAACGAAAGCCACCCACCAAGAATCGTAAGCTTGAATGGCTCTATGAACCATACAAATTTGAGAATCAAAATCTTGAATTTTCTTGGATGAATATAGAGAGAAAGTGAAAGAGATGTTGTTTTTAGTTCATAAGAATTGAGAAACAAAGAGTGTAAGTCTATTTGAGGAGCATTAAAAGTTTCAAATTGGTTGTTCATGGTGGTTGGTGTACTGATGGCAATGCCAATCTTGTAAGTACTTGACGATGATGAGGTTGAGAGAGTAAAAAAAATCATTTTTGAAAAGAGAAAAAATAATGGCATTTTCATGAATAATATGAACTTGTGGGATGAATAAGACAAAAGAAAAATCCAAAATAAAACATGGATTAATTTTAAAGTTGACTTTGAGTTATAGGTTACTTTTTAAAGAAGCCCTTAAATGAATAAATAAATTTAAAATTAAACTTATTGTTATTACTTTATCCTAATTGAATATGAGTAAATTGATGGAAACAAACTTATATGTTCTTTTGTTGTAATAGTCACTTTCTTAAACTTTAAGTGATAAACGAAATTTGAAAGTAGTAGTGATTCGGTTTGTTTATGCAACTCTAAATTCCTCAACACTGAATTATTGAATTTTATCAAAAACATTGTATATGAAATTATACATAATTTTACAAAATATATTTATCAACCTAAGAATTAAACTAAATAAATCTAATCAAAAACTTTATTCTTATTTTAGTCTAATTACAACAAAAAATGATTCATTTCAAAAGAATTGATAAAGACAATATACCAAAATATGAATAATCGAACTGATAAAAAAAAATAGAACAATCAAATAAACCAATTATAAGATTTAGTTATTTTATATGTGCATGAATTTTCAAAGTATTACAAGTTATGTTATTAATAAAATCATGATTTTGTATTTATGTTTCCAGTTTTTCAATATAATATATATGACAATTATACAATTTATTTTTTAAATTATATTTACAAATATAAGAAGATGAACTGAAGTACTTGAAACTGAGAGAATAATAATCTAACTTTAACCTAATTAAAAAATCTTTGTGTTATGAAAGAATATATATTCAACTTTACATATCCAAAATATCTACTTGTACCAATACAAAATATTATGACTGAAATCACTTATCTAATTAAAATGAGAAGATAATAACACTTAATGCAAGTTTTATTTGATTATTATACATGTTAATTATAAAATGATTTAAAACTTATACATAAACAAAAAAAAATATTACAAATTGTTATGATTAATTATTTTACAAATGTTTATTCCCATGCTGGATCACCTAATTAACTAAATTAGTCACAATCCACTCTTATATCACTTAATTTAACTGATATTAACCAATTTAAATCGATTTAAGTTAAATAAATCAGATTTAAAGAAAATGGTTCGACTTGCCACCTAGACGCCTACACAGATTTTTGAAACATTAGTACAAACACTATTATCACCACTGTTTCATGGTACAAGATATTATTTGGATCCAGAGTTATAATTGTTCATTTTGAAAAAAAATCTGTATTTAGTTGGGTACAAATTACAATCAATCAAATCTAGTGGGTGATGGTGTATTTCTTTAAAGAGTCAAAGAACATACCAACCCAACAACAACCAACATAGACCTCAGTCCCACAGACTTTTGAAATTCAAAGTCATAAAGGTAGTTTGGTTATGCAAGATTTCATTTTTGTTTTGGGTGACACAAAGAGCCAAAACCTCTTAACCTAAACCAAAGACTAGATTTTGTGTGAACACAAGTCAAAAGTTTTAGTTTGTTTTTCTATTCGTAATTGAGTGAGTACCACTTAAAATTCCCAAAAACTATAAAGAAAACTTGAAACATAATATATACAAAAGTGAACATCAAGAACCACCATGTATACAAAGATATACATGTATATTCAAAAAAGTTAACACATAATTTGTTTAGAGAGCAAAGGAAAGTAAATTGAAAAGAAGAGAGAAAAGAGAACCAGTGACTCTAAAGTGAAGAAAAATAAAGCTAAAGTATCAGTCTTTTGGAATCCATTAGACTTGAGCATGCGTAATTAACCTCATAACAATATCATTAACAACCAAAATGTAAAATGAATTTCTAATAAACCTCATAACAATATGTTACAACATATGATTGTCAAACCCCCAAAGATATAATCATTAACCCTAAACCATATCTGATCCAAAATGAGTACAAGAAACTACCTTTCACCGTTCTCCAGCTTCTTATGATCTTCCATCCATGGAAGTTTTGGAAGATCATCAACGTTAAGCGACGAAGAAGGCAACCTCCTTTGAGCATCTGAAGAGAACTTATCTTTCCTTGGCCACAACCAAATCTTTGAAACTGAAAAGCTCTCTCCTTTAGCCACAACACTACTCATCTTCTTCTCCTCACCTGACGAATCCTGAGACTCTTTGTCCTGTGGTTTCAAACGCAGTTGCCTATCGTTGCAAAATGGTACCTTAAGCTCTGAGTTACCGAGTATATACTGATACGAACCCATAGAGAAACATCTCCTTGCATCAAGATTACTACTACTAGTCTCTCCAACAGCATCATGACCAACATTGTCAAGCCTCTTGAACTTCCCTAACCTCACAGGTAAAACCCCTTTCTCCACAGCGATTTCTTGAATCTCCACCGTCTTCTCAGCTACACACTCTTCTTCTTCTCTTATATCATCGAAGTCAAACATGGGATTCTCCATGGAGAAGCCAGGGGAGAAGAGAGTGCCACGACAAAGAGGACAAGTGGAGTTAGACTGAAGCCAAGTATCAATACAGTTTAAATGAAAAGCGTGGCTACACATTGGCAACAACCTCAGCTTATCTTTCTCAGTAAACTCACAGAGACAGACCGCACAATCAAACGGCTCCTTGGACGCGCCGACCATTTCTTTGTAGTGAAAAACAGGCAAAGCGTCGATGAAGGCTTGGTCGAGACCAGAGTCGTTGAGATGGAACAGCTGTTGAAGCTGTCTTTGAAGAGCGTCGGTGGTGGAGATCTCTGGGTATCTGTTGGACCTCGAAGGAGGAGAAGGATGTTTGATGAGAAACCTAACGAGTAGATGAAGAAGGCCGGAGATGAAGAACAAGACGGCTAGGATGACGATTACGAATAGAACCGCGGGGCTGATTCTGTTACCGGACGGTGGCGGCGGAGGGAGAATTGGGTCTTTGTAAAACGGTGGTGGGTATGCAAAGTTGCTGTCTTTTTGTTCAATTGTGAATCGAACAAAAGACATTTTTGTAAGATCTTAAATTTCAAGATCCAGGAGAAAAAGAACTGAGACAAAGATAACAACTCCAAGTTAAGTCAACAATAATATCGAGAGGAATATAGAGAGATAGGCAAAGACTTACCTAAAAGCCCATCCAGGTTTTCAGAAAAAGTTAAGCTCCCGTGAAGTAGTAAATGAACTCTTTTTTTCTTCTTCTTGTTGATGTCAGATTTGCAGAGGAAGAAGAGAGTTAAAGGAACTCTCTTTCTCTTTCTCTCTCTCTCTGCCGTCTACTCACATACACTCTCTCTATCTTTTTTTATCGCTTAACCTTTCGTTTTCTTGAGCTTTAATGGTGGAAATAGAAGAAAATGACAAAGTGATGTTGTAATTTTTCGAAGTGCGAGGCAAAGTTGGAAAACAACACGTAATAAAGTAAAAGCTTTGAAAATTAAAAATAAAAAGAAAAATTTAAATGAACGCTTTTAGACTTGGGCCCACGTGCATGGATGAGCGAGTTGATGTCTGATAGTCAACTACAAAGACAAAGAAAAAAACTGACGGTTTCCTAAGTTTTTGGTTTTATATAAGATCTGTAGTGGGCCTGACCAACCAGCCCAATTACATCATCCAAATCTAACCGTTGGATAAGCGATCTAGTTACTGTTATAAGTTTTTTTTTTTTTGAATGAGCTGTTTATAAGTTTTATTATAAGAGTTCCTTTTATTAAACCAATCATCTTACGAACAGATTTCGGTTCGATTTTGCTTTCTGATAATTTGGTTTGGTTCGGGTTCTAAAGATATTTACTCCACAATATATAGTGTAAAAAAATACGAACCGATTTCAAATCTAACCGTTGGATCAATTCATCGTGTTGCCGGCAGCACTGAATGGTGAAATCGCCGGACAAGCGACGGCAAAGTCTCCGTTCGTGTCTCCGTTTCGCCGTCGCTTACGACTAGGACATTGGTGCGATTCTGGGGATCATAAGTTATCTCGGAAGGTCAGTGGTAGATGACATTGTTTGTACTATGATTAGTTAAAGACAATTGAAAATAAAACTAAGATGACGCTGATTCGACTCATTTTTCATTAACACCTAAAAACAGAATACCAAAGCAAAGTTATCAATCAATCATCTATCATGATGAGACAGCGGCGTAGTTGTGCCTTTAACTGATTTGATATGCGTTAAGAAATTTGTTTGTACTAAGGGATCAGATTAAAGCTAAGACGAGATTGTTGCAGAACTGATGTTTTCGTCTTGACTCTATCAATCATATATGTCATGAGAGGAATAGGAGATGAGACAATGGCGTGGAGGTATTATAGTGCAGATGTTGTGCCCTTCGCTGTGGAGTGTGCCCACTGTACAATGCTACTACTTTAAGGGACTGAACTTGTATGTCTTTATCTTCTACACTTTTTGTTGTTTCAACACTAATCCTTCTTCAGCTTTCCATCATCTTTGGACCTTCTTTGATGCGCCGTATAAGCCTTTTCAAGAATATGAACCTTTTTTTTTTTTTACATGTATGTAGGTCAAGTAGATTGGCTTCAGTGTTTTCATCTCTCTACTTCAAGATTTTCTTACTTGGGCATTCTTAGGTAATAACAATGTGGTCATATTTCGTGGTTTATAGTCATTTCATTGTTTCTGTTGTGTACTTTCCTAATTTGGGAGAATCAGGTTCATGTCGCAGATACCTCACACCAGCTTTTACCTCCACCCTTGCCGTTTCTGATATCATATCACCGAGTAGGTAACTCTTAAGTGGTTCTGCTGATTGAGGTTAATAGAACGAGATTTCCTAGAAATCTATCTGAATTTTTCTGTGATGATGAAAGCTAAGATGATGCTGATGTGATTGGAAGTTTTCATCACTGGAGTGGAAGCTGAGAAATTCTTCGGTTGGCTGATTCAGCAGCTGGTATTGGTTGGCTGATTCAGCAGCTGGTATTGGAATATTCGTTTTGGTCAAATTGTTTTTTTTTTTTAATTAATAAAAGAGAAGAGTATTTTTAATGTGTGGTGTGAATTATTTGGTCATGTGGTCACTGATAAATAAAACAATGACCATTTAGCAAGCGTGATTGCTTCTGCCCACTTCAATCTTGTCTGAATGGGAGTTTAGACATCAAATCTGTCATGAGCGGATTAGGAGAAGAGAGAGTAGCGTGGAGATACTTTCACAGAGATGTTGTGCCGTTTGCTGCAATGTTTGCAGTCGAGTGTTCCATGGTTGGGTCAAACACACTGTACAAGGCTGCAACGTTAAGAGGATTGAACTTCTATGTCTTTATCTTTTACTCTTATGCTGCTTCAACATTTGTGCTCCTTCCACTTACCCTCATCTTTGGAAGGTACTTGATCGCACCTTTGTTCAGTATAAACTTCTTCAAGAACATGATGAACTTGCTTTTTTTAATCTGCAGATCTAAAAGATTACCTTCAGCCAAGTCTCCTCTCTTCTTCAAGATGTTCTTACTTGGACTTTTCGGGTAAACAGTATAACTCCTGCTTCTAGATTAGTGGATGTCTCTGTTTTTGTGTTCCTAGTTTTTTGACTTAGACGGACAGGTGTGTGGCGCATATGATTGGGTTTAAAGGTGTAGAACAAAGTTCTCCTACTCTTTCCTCTGCTATGAGCAATCTCACGCCAGCCTTCACATTCACCCTTGCAGTTATCTTCAGGTTTCACTTTCACCTCGTTGTGTCTCACTATGAATATCATTATTGGGTATGTAACTCTGAACTGGTTCTGCTTCCTTAAAGGATGGAACGAGTTGTGCTAAGGAGCTCTGCGACTCAGGCTAAACTCATCGGCGGAGTACTATCTATATCTGGTGCTCTGGTTGTTGTTCTGTATAAAGGCCCCAAAGTTCTGTCTGCTGCAGCTCTTACACCTTCATCAGAGTCAGGCTGGTTAATCGGTGGAATTTTGCTTGCTTCACATTATTTTTTGGCTTCAGTCTGGTATATTGTTCAGGTAGAAACACTTAGAGACTTTGGGTTGTTGGTTACACATAATACTCTTGCTAAATTCTGTAGCTGTATATGGTTTCAGACTCTGGTCATGGAGGTATACCCTGAAGGAATAACAGTAGTCTTCTTCTACAACTTATTTGCAATGCTAGTCTCAGCACCTATATGTTTATTGACGGAAAGGAACTTGACTTCGTGGGTTCTTAAACCAGATATTAGCCTTGCTGCAATCGTTTGCTCTGTGAGAATCAAAGCTTATAATTTAATTCATTGCTGACGATGTCTCATGCTCAGACATTTTACACTTTGTTTCAGGGAGTCTTTGCTGCATTATTTAGTGTGCTTACTGTGAGAATTGTGGTGTGTGACCCAGCTCGATAAGTTTCTTCTAGTGGGCTTTGGCCCAGCTGCAATCTAACTAAAGGCAACAAAGACATGGAGAAGATGGGCCTCGGTGATTTAAGTGGTGGCCCATAACGAAGGAAGTCGTTATACCGTTATAAGGATAAGGTTGTTATAACAACCTTATCATCTTCTTCATCGTTTNTATTGACGGGGAACTCTAAAACTTCGTGTGTGTCTTGCTTACGTTTCTTTCTTTACGTCTTTACTTCAGCTTACAAACGAGTGATCGGAGTCGCTATTCGGCAACTCACGAGTGATCTGATAGAGAGCAAAGAACGAGTCAGTTAGAGACGAGTGAAACGAGTTAACAAGGAAGCTACATACTAAACGGATCTTCTACAATTGGTATCAGAGCTCGGCTAGAGCTAAGGAGAGAGATCCAAGGAAGGTTACAGGACGGGAAGGCGAAGAACAATCATATTCTTCGAAGGGAAGGAGACAATAGCAGAATCTAAAATCGAGACTTACAAAGGAAGTTTCCTAAAACTCAAATTAGCTTATCTTGATAGAACATAGTGTTGATTCCGTGATCTGTTAGTAGTTTTCTGTGGATTTGTTCTTCGTGTTATCTGCAGGTGACAAGGAACAAGGAGATCTACAGATCTAACAGAATGGATCCAACGCGAGGGAAGTTCGAGATTGAAAAGTTTGACGGTAAAGGAGATTTCGGATTATGGAAGTTCAAGATGCAGGCGCAGCTCGAGATTCAGGGCCTATTGTCTGTACTAGAAGACGAGGAAGGATCTACGTCTGAGGAAGGGAAACAAGTAGAAGGAGAGGAGGTCAAGAAAGATCCAAAGAGAGCAGACAAAGATCTTCGAGTACGAAGTTTATTAAGCATCTGCCTGAGTGACGTGATCTTAAGGAAGATCATGAATGAGACAACAGCTCTTGGAATGTGGAAAGCATTAGAGAGGGATTATCAAACTAAATCTCTGCCTAACAGGATCTACTTAAAGAAGAAGTTCTCGTGCTTCAAGATGGAAGAAGAGAAACCTATGGAGGAAAACTTCGATCAGTTCCTAAAGCTAGTGGCAGACTTAGCAAGCATAAAGATAGACATCTCCGATGAAGATCAAGCAATCCAATTGCTTTCTGGATTGCCATCAGCGTATGAACCACTGGTGCACACACTTCAGTATGGAACAGGGAGGGATACTCTAACTGTAAATGAAGTAATGACAGCTGCTTACTCCAAGGAGGTGGAGTTGAAACAGAAAGGTATTACACCTAAGGGAAAGACATCAGAAGGGTTATACACTGAGTCAAGGGGAAGGTCAACTACGAGGAATGAATCAGGAGGAAGCAAGCCTTGGAACAACAAATCAAGGAGTAAATTTAGATCGAAATCTAGAGGAAAATCTACAGGAAAGTCAGATAAAACCTGTTGGATCTGTGGGAGTGAAAATCATTGGAAAAGAGACTGTCCGGAAAGAAAGAATAAACCACAAAGCTCTGTCAATGTTGCAACGAATCTTCCTGGACCCATTGCACTCACTGCAAGCTTGTCTGTCTCACAGGACGAGTGGGTGTTAGACTCGGGATGCACCTTTCATATTACACCAAGAAAGGAACTTCTCTCAGAATTTGAAGCCTTTGAAGGAAACAAAGTTATGATGGGTAATAACACTCATTGTATGGTTCGTGGTATGGGAAAGGTGACGATAGAAAATCTAGACGGGTCAGAAGTAACGCTGAGCAACGTAAGATACATTCCAGAGATGAGTAGAAATTTGATTTCCTACGGGCAACTAGAGCAGTCAGGTTGCAGCTATAAGGGACAAGACTACATGATTCACTTCTACAAAGGAAGTAAGAAGGTGCTGACAGGAAAGTACACAAATGGGCTGTATTATCTTCAAGGAAACGTCAGGAGAGCAGAGGCAAATTCAGTAAAGGAAACCGTTGATTTGACAAGGAGATGGCATACTAGACTTGCTCACATGAACCATAGATCAATGGAATTACTGGCAAGAAAGGGTTATGTAAAGAAGGAGGAAATTGGAAAGCTAGGATTCTGTGAAGCTTGTGCGATGGGAAAATCACACAGACAACGTTTCCCAAAGGCCAAACACACCACCAAAGGAGTGTTAGAATACGTTCACACGGACCTTTGGGGTTCACCAACAACAACAACGAGCTTATCAGGGGCTCACTACTTCTTAACCCTTACTGATGATTACTCTAAAAAGGTTTGGATATATTTTCTTAAAACTAAAGATGAAGTGTTTAACTGTTTTGCAGAATGGAAGCTGTTAGTGGAAAACCAAACAGGAAAGAGAATGAAGTGTCTGAGGACAGACAACGGTCTGGAATTCTGCAATCAAAGAATGGATTCTCTGCTAAGGGAGTCCGGAGTTAAACACCACAAGACCTGTCCCTACACCCCTCAGCAGAACGGAGTATCAGAAAGAATGAATCGTACTATAATGGACAAGGTGAGAGCTATGTTAAATGAGTCTGGGTTGGATGGAAGTTATTGGGCTGAGGCAGCTTCGACAGCAGTATATCTCATAAACCGATCTCCAAACGCGTCTATAAACTTCGAGGTTCCAGAAGCGAGATGGATGGGGAGTGATCCAGAGTACAGTCATTTAAGGAGCTTTGGGTGTATTACGTACGTTCATCAAGTTAAAGAGAAGATAAATCCGAGAGCAGCTAGAGGAATTTTCTTGGGTTACGCACAGGGAACTAAGGGATACCGTGTGTGGCTCTTAGAAGAACAGAAAGTGGTTATCACTAAGGATGCCGTGTTCAATGAAGAAAGGTTCTTTAAGGATCTAAAGAAAGAAGAAGATCAGGAAGTTGAACACAAGCAACCTGAAGTTGAATCAACTGCAAAGAAGGTTACCTTCAGTGACAAGCTAGAAGAGTTTGAAGGGGAAAACACAAGTTCAGGTGGAGCTAGTGAGGCAGAGGAATCAGTAAAGGAGATTGAGACAGAATCCAATACAGACACAGTGGAGACTCAAACTCAAGACCTGGGAAACTACCTATTAGCAAGAGACAGGGAAAGAAGGATGATTAAGCCTCCATCGAGATTTGAGGATGCTGACTTTGTAGCATATGCTCTATCTAGCGCCGAGGACTTGGATTTAGAAGAACCTAGAAACTATACAGAGGCAAGACAGAGCAAGGATTGGAGGCTGTGGACAGGAGCATCAGACGAAGAGATGATATCTCTTGAGAAGAATGAGACGTGGGAATACGTGGAGAGACCAAAGGATCAGAAAGTCATCGGGTGTAAATGGATTTATAAATTGAAACCTGAGATCCCAGGAGTCGAACCACCAAGGTACAAGGGGAGGTTAGTGGCAAAGGGGTATGCGCAAATAGAGGGAATTGATTATAATGACGTATTTGCACCAGTGGTGAAACACGTCTCTATTCGCATACTTCTCTCAGCAGTGGTGAACTATGACCTAGAGTTAGAACAACTCGACGTTAAGACTGCATTTCTTCACGGAGTGTTGAAGGAGAAGATCTTCATGGAGCAACCAGAAGGATACGTCAAAAAGGGAAAGGAGAAGATGGTGTGCTTATTGAAGAAGTCCCTATATGGACTAAAGCAGTCACCAAGAGAGTGGAACCACAGGTTTGATACATTTATGATGAAGCAAAATTACAGAAGAAGCGAGTATGATCCGTGTGTGTATCTGAAGGGGTCAACGGTGGAGGATATGGTGTATCTTCTAATCTACGTTGATGATATGCTAATTGCCTCTAAGCAAATGAGCAAGATTCAGAAACTGAAAGGCCAGCTAAGCACGGAATTCGAAATGAAGGACCTAGGACATGCACGGAAGATTCTAGGAATGGATATCCTAAGAGACAGAACGAGTTCTTCTCTAGTTCTGTCACAGAGAGACTACTTGTTGAAAGTTCTAAAAACTTTCGGAATGGAAGAATGTAGAGCGGTGAGTACACCTCTCGGGACACAATTCAAGCTAAAGTCACTAACCAAGGATGAAGAACTGAAGCAAGGAAGGGAGATGGAAGAGATACCTTACACCAGTGCGGTTGGCAGCCTTATGTATGCGATGGTTGGCTCCAGACCTGATCTCGCATACGCAGTTGGAATGGTTTGTCGGTTCATGAGTAAACCTGGAAAAGAGCATTGGTTAGCGGTCAAGTGGATAATGCGTTATGTTCAAGGGGCTTTGAATATGAACTTAACTTTCACAAAGGAGGAGAAGTTCGAGGTAAGAGGATACTGTGATTCCGATTATGCTGCAGATTTGGACAAGAGTAGATCGATTGCAGGCTACGTCTTCACGGCAGGAGGAAACACTGTAAGTTGGAGGTCTTCGTTGTTGAAAACCATTGCGTTGTCGTCTACGGAGGCTGAGTATATGTCACTGTCTGAGGCAATCAGAGAAGGAATTTGGTTAAAAGGCATATGTGAAGAGTTGAAACTAAATTCAGGAGTGTTTGAGGTAAACTGCGATTCTCAGAGTGCCATCTACCTATCAAAGAATTTTGTCTACAGAGAAAGGTCTAAACACATGGCGGTAAAGTATAACTTCATAAGGGAGATAATAGCAGACGGAGTGGCTAGGGTTCTAAAGATTCACACATCGATAAATCCAGCAGATATGTTAACGAAAACCTTACCGGTGGAGAAGTTCAGAGGGTGTCTCACTCGTCTGAAGGTACTTGAAGCTTGATTAATGATCAAGGTGTGCCGTTCGTCTTTGGAACTGAGAAGATGAGGTGTTACGGCGAAGGTGGAGTCTCGGTAGTCAGAGAGACGATGGGAAGAATGAATCTAAAGAGTCAGATGAAGAAGAACTAGCTAGGAGTGAGGACAAACTATGCTAGTACCAGGATCGGGAAAGTTGAAGGTTGTGCAAGAAGCTTGGTCGGAGATCGAAGACATAAGCGAAGCACTTTCGAGGGTTAGGTTTGCAGCGATCGATGGTGTCTCACACCAAGGTGGAGATTGTGAGAATTGTGGTGTGTGACCCAGCTCGATA